CCAGGGGTGGCGACTCCACCACCTCCTTGGGCATCCCATTCCAGCGTCTAATCACCCTTTCTGTGAAGAAATTCCTCCTAATGTCCAACCTAAACCTTCCCTGGCACAGCTTAAGACTATGTCTTAACGTTAATAATGCTCGATGTACACATTTACTGCATACACATTTATTGCATACATTTATAGATCTATTTTTCTTCCAAGGTAGTTGGTGTCAAAATGCAGCTGATACAGGGACATGGACCCTTATAGCAAAAATGTCTATTGCTGCCAGTGTACAAGAACAAAGGGATATTAAATGTTAGGGACTGGCGTTATTTGCATGCAATCTACTGCATTTCCAGGCAGAAAAGGTTAAAAAGAGAACTGCCAAGGTTTAGGAACTATCTGTAGTTCAGTGAAGCTTTAAATCAAGTTAACAGTCTCACAGCCCTTGGGGGATTTTCATAATTTCCATAATGTGCAGTGTGTTCTTCACTTCCCAATAGAAGCCAATCAGTTATGTACGCAAACTGGCTGGACAATTATGCAAATGAAAAAATAAATTTAATCGATTCAACAGAAAAGCATGCTGTTTGTTTCACCTGGAATTAATTTTAACTCATTGAGGAATAAACTGGGAGAGGTCATCAGTAAGTGTCATTGTGCCAGAAACCAGCTCCACTGCTTAGGGTACACATTTTCAAACAGAACACCCCCATCCTACCCCAGCACAGGAAGTAATTCCTGCTTTTTAGCTAAGACTCAACATTTATTGTGCTGGTGGGAGTACCACTGTGACTTTATCTCAACATGATATTCCCTATCCATACCCAGGACACATCCCACTAGCTCAGCAAGAGCTGCACAGATTTCCAAATGGAAAGGTTGTTTTATACCAGATAAAATTACCATCTGAAAAAGTTTGTATTTAGACTTCTTGAGCCCTAACAGAGAACTTTAAATAGTCTTGCTTCTTAATTACAAGTTGCTACAAGTGGCAGATGGAACTGTTATGTCCTTGCTTCTTGTTTCTGTTTTGGTCCTTGGTCTGTGGAAGGTCAAAAAATATCATCAGTTTCTCCAATCCCATCACATGCAAAAAAAAAAAAAAAAAAAAAAAGTTATGTAGGAGTCAAGACTGAAAAATATAGAGCTGGATTTGCAAAAACAAAGCCTCCAATAAAACCACAAAGATGCAAGATGCATCTGGAGAATGCAAAAGGACAAGAAATGTGAATAATGGCTTTCACTGTGGCTAAATTTCACTAAGCTGAGGAGTATGACATTGAGACATTAGTAATTAAACTTCTACTACTATAGCAGAGACATTTAATTTTACTATTTCTTCTCAAGTGAAACTCTCATGAACATCAATTTGAATTCTTCAGGGAACTGAGCACTGTAACCCTGGCTGTAGCTTCCACTTCCAGTTAAAGCTGGAAGCTGGCCATCTCCACAGCTGGGAGTTTCAACCCAATTTATTCACAAGCATTTGCTACATTGTGTGCTCTGGTGTGGTGAAGAACTGCATAGTCTGACTGATTTCACACTTAACCCGCTCATGCCATGTATCATTCTCCAGTGGTTACAAGATACTAAACTCACCATCTCTACTTTGCTGCTTGCCTATCTTGCTGCATATCTAAGAGGGTTCATTACAGGAATCTGAAGAGAATTAAATTATTCGATGAAAGTACAGACTCAAATATTTTGAATGCTTTATATAAATATTAAGAAACTTTTATTAACAACTTAACAACTCCTCCAAAAAATGCTCTCTCTCCCTCACCCATTGCTCTTTATAAAACACCATGAAACGATCAAGGTCTTATTTCCAGCTTCTCACCTCCATCCCACATTTTGAAACTCTCAAAATTATCAATATTTTGAAGTAAAATTGTGGTAAGTCTTCCAAACCACATTATTCTGTTTTAGTTACAAGAAACTGTCCATACCCAACAAAAATAATCCATCCAAGAGCATAGTGTGTAATCAGTGAAAACTGAAGAACAATTTTCAGAGGGAATTCCTCACACATCTAACAACATACTGAAGGAGCACACCAAGCTACTGAGCTACTGAGCACAGCACAGGGAAGTTTTTATTTGCACATTTTTCTGTCTCTCTCTGCAAACAGGTAAGCATACATTTTAATTCCTATATGAAAAATTATACCAAATAAGGTGCTTAATGTGAAACATAGAAGTTCTTTCAGCTTAACTTATACTGGGAGAAAGCAAAAGTGTGGCTATTGTCCACTGAGTGGCTGGCTCTGCAAAACTGCATTGCCTCTGCTGTACTTAACTTTATTCTTCAGGATATTTTTTCCATCTTTCCAGGCTTGTTTCCATTCCACAGTGGAGTTTTGTCCTGTTTGGCACATGGAATTTCTGTTACCAAAATACCGAGAATGTTACTCAAGAAACCTTTCTGGCCTTCTGATACACATCAAAATGATGATATTTGCACTGTATTTCATGTGGATCCAGACAGAACAAAAATGTGAAATACAGGACTTAACAGCAAAATTGTTTCAACTGCATACTGGTTTATCATGGTGATACAGGGAGAAACACTGTATTGACACAAACACCAGAAGCCTCACTTGTAATAAAACTTCTGAGCAACGATGTGGGAAGCTTGCTTTGCTTGTTAATATAAAACATGACTGAGATTACATCCTATCAGCTGAAGATGATACTCAGGAGATGGAGCCAAAACATTGCAAAAATTTTACACGGTTCCAAGTTAAGCTTGAGGGTCAATGATTAACCTCTGTCTGAAAAATAAAGCAACATTTGGAGTTTTGTTCTGGGGAAGATCTAAGTGAAAATTCAAGGTTGCTTACAGAGGAAAAAATTCCGCTGTTTCTAGAACATCCCAAGTTTTGAATCCATGCAAATTACAAAGAGAATTTTGTCCTTCTGTGTCTGTCAAACACACTATTAGCCACGTTGGATACCTCTCACAGAAACATGGGATTTAGCTGAGGGTCAGATAGCCTCTGTCTAATTCCAATGAAGATTAAGACACAAAGGATCTTAGAAGAACTAATTATCAAAAATTACTCTGTTTCTTACTACCAGTTTTAGTTTGTTGGAATCTTCTAAAATTGCTTTTTTCACTAATGCTGGAGTGGTTGCAAGAGCATCAGTTTAGATCCCTCACCTGAAACTTGATTACTACTTACCCAGTCTTTCAGCTACTGAGAAGCAAAATCAGCAGAATCCAGTTGGATTTGATCAGGTGGATACCCTTTTAAATGGCAGAAACATCTTCATGAATGTGAAGGGGTAGAACCCAAAGTTTGTTTGGACCAGTGCCAACTGTACACTAAGACTGAGGTGAATGGCTCCTACAGAAATGCCATATAGTACCACCGGTAGTGGATTTACCATTTTTTACAAGGCAGGCAAGATGATCTCTACAAAAGAATGATACCCTGTGAGAAGACAACAGCCTCTATCCTAGCATTTTTCTGTACAGGTGGCACAGGAGCAAAGTAGTAATCCTGGTGGTCATCAGATTCAATCCCCTCTCTTCCATCAGCAACAGCCTAACAGACTGGATGAGAAAAAGTATTGAAAAAGGTTAAGGACCTGGCCCTGAGGAGGTCAGGAATCCAACAACTGATGACCAGATTCATGACATCAGATTAATGGCATAAAGCCCCAAGACTGGAGTGGCAACCTCCCCCAAAGAGAAAAACCCTGACACCAAAACCCTCCACACAACCATCCAGAACTAAGGTCATGATGGCTTTCATGATTTAGAGCTGCAAAGGACACCTGCAATAATGCTGCAGGAACTGGGAAGAGACTTACGCTACCCCAAAGCAGAGATATTTTTCAAACATTGAGGTCCTGTGCCACCATCTTAATCTCATTTATGATGGAACAACCTAAAAACTCATGAACTTTTATACCCAAAAGAGCTTAAGAACAAAAGGCTTTAAAATGGATGGAGAGCAGGGCCACAAGAGCTGTATTATTGGCAAGTTTGTGAAGGATGGTGCCAGAGAACTAAACTAACAACACTACAAAAGTGCTAAGTACATTAAGTATCAATTTTGTATTGTTGTATTGTATTGTTTCACCATGAGAGATTTTCTGGTATTAAATGTTTGGTTCTTCTTACTCAGGCTGTAGAGTTTGACTCAAGCAATTCATGCTCTGAATGTGATTCAGGATTTTCAGGTGGAAAAAAGCAGAAATCCTGAAGAACCAGGAATGGTGGAACAAGCTTGCTAGAAGTCTCCATCTCATCATGAAGTTGGCAGAACCTAGAAGATGGGCAAACCCACCTCTCTCTAAGAGCACAATCAAGGGAGAAAGCAAGTTTTCCTTTGCAGTGGAAGTATCCATATATAGAAATGTGAAACCATACACAAGCTATTACCTATATCAAATAAATATCTAATTAAATTATCAACTAAACCTTCAGCTGTGAGCAACATGTAGGCTCTCAGTTCTGTGAAGAAAGGTATCCTAAGTCAGGCATGTCTCAAGCAATTTTGAAGTTATTTTATTCTCAGTGCTTTTTATTGGGCTTTTGGAGAAAAAAAATAAGATCTAAGGTGCGGACAGTTGGGACAGTGACCTCACAAGTTATTGTGAGGCAGGCAACAGGAAACAGGTATTACTTCTACAGACTATGAATGAATGTGGAAAATGTCTCACTCAAGAACAGCAGATGCACTCAACCAGTGCACTTACCTACACTTGTACCTATGCTTATACTACACTTACAGAATTACCTGCTGGGAGAAACAACCTAAGTGTTAATTCTTTGTAAGAATGGTGAACGTAGGTTCTGAGGCTGCAGCTTCTTCATTATCTGGTGATGCCATTGCCAAACATCTATACAGGTCAGTGTGACAGTTTATAAAAAAACAATTACTCTTTCTGTGCTACTATCTTCATTATCATCAATATAGTATTTAAAACAACAACTTGAGTTTGAAACCTTGCTGTAAATCAGTAAGGCACAATCCGAACAGAGTGGAAACTATTTAGTAACTACTGAAACAGCCAGACTTTCTCAGCCCATTTCATATTCTCTTGAAGCCATTTTAAAGCAGATGAATGCTCCAGGCTGTAAACTTCTTCCATATTAACGTTCATGGTCATATGCTTAAGAAAAAGCTTTGGATCAGATAAACGAGCTGCCTGGATCAGCCTCTCCACTGCCTCATGATAGGCATTGTTATTCTGAACTGTATCTTCATATCTGTAAGGGAATTTAAATGAATATAAAATTAGGTACCATACAGGCTCAGTGTCACTTACCTAACACTTTATACTGGCAAGAAAATTACAATAACATTAAAATAATGCCTTGTATTTTTCACTGATAAATATGCTAATTTCTAGACAGATTATATTATTGTTCTGAAGAATTAAAAAGTTATACAAAGTGTATTTTTAACATATTTAATTGCAATGAAAAGTAATAGGCTTTAATGTTGGTGTAAAGCAGCTCTGCAATATTCACAGCCCATTTCAGGAAAATGTCTCTGGGCTGGAAAATTCAGTAAAGGAATGCAAACCATTTAATAAACTGGATATAGCAAAAATTCATGTACATGCTTGAATCCATAAGGTTTACTCAGTTTTGGCATGTAAACACTTCTGGAACAAGGCTGTGCTGAAGTGACATGACTACATTTTTTGCAAGAGGAGAACTTCCTGTTTAAGAAAACAAACAGATATACAGTAGCATATACATGGAAACAAGAGATAAAAAAACTTCTCACTTATCTAAGGAACAAAATGAAGAGATGTATTCTTTGAGAAAGATAAGGAAAACAAGATCTATTACTTACATGATGACATGAAATACAATCAAAATGGTACATATCTGACAAACTTACCTTTTCAGTATTATTTGAAGAGTCTGACTAGTATTCCTTGAACTTTGAATATCACTAGCATTTGAAACAAGAAATATTTCAATGGTCAACAGCATCTCAACTTCAGATAGGTATGATGGAATCTTCAGAACTTTGTGATAAAAATTTCCCTGCAGCTCTGGGTAGCAACCCAGTGATAAAGCATCTGAGAGTAAATGCAGAAATATGAGGAATTAGAATTACCAATACTAAAGATAGATCTGTTTTCTTCTGTGTGATTAAATGTGGAAAAACCCCAACCCCAACCCCTTAATGGATTTTACTACTTCACCTATGAAATGGCCTGATTTGAGAACACAGCACACAGCATTCACACATAAATTCACAGTTGTAAAATGGTTAAATTTTCTTTTTCAATGAGTTTCATCAGCTATGATTAAAAAGTTCTGTCAGAAGTCTGGGGACACCAAGTGTGTGATAAAGTGCAATTTAGGCAGGTCAGACAGGTGTAAACCATGGTCAAAGTGAGGGAACATTTGAACAGCATCTCCCGCTTTGTTCCCATGTCTTCTGCCAAGTGATCCCAGCAACCCAACATATACAGCATTTCTAAAAAATAATAAAAAAAAAAAGAAAAAACAAAAGATGAGGAAGAGCAGTCATTTCAATGTTAACAAAACCAAGTACCTATCCCAGAAAGGATGGACACTTAAAGCAGTCTGCTAACCTCAAAAATTCTAAGACAGAATCAAATAGTAAATAATGTGACAATATGGAGAGATTCTAAGCAGAGTGGCACACCCAGTATAATCTTAGCTCAGAAATAGGGAGTTATAAACAATTAGCTTTTTGTTGAAAGGAATTTTCTTATAGTTAGGATAAACTAATTAGCCAGACTTCTCAAATCTTAAATGTTAATAATTTTACCACCACAGAGACGGTGGTACACTTCTAGACAGAATTGTCAGGAAATCTAATTTGCCTAGATGAAAAAGTGAACATGATGCACTTTTCAACCATTTCAGGGCTCACATACCTGAAATTCTGAAACTGAATGTAAAGAATTAATTTCATCACAATTACATTGATGTCATGCCAGCTAGTATGCACTGATTCTTATTTTCAACTCACCATTTCCTAATAAATATTTTGATTACAAATAAATTCCTGAGAGTGACACAGAAAGTACTGTTTTTCTTTTTACTCATACTGAAATGTTATGAGCACATTATCCAAAGAATGGAAGGGGAGGATATTGTTTAAGAAGTAACTTACTTTTGTAATAGGTCCTAGCTTTGGACCATAAAGAACTTCTTCCCAAAGCTGTGATTAATCCTCTAAGTAAAGCAAAATCAATAGCAATCTTTTTGGAAAGCATGAAATCTACTGCAGAAGACGAGACCCCAAGGTTCTTGTTCTCAAAACAGGCATTTATCAGCTTGTTAAAAAGGCAACTGTATTGAGAAGCATTTACAATATCTGAAATGAAATCAAGAATATTAACTAGTGAATTAATTCAAACGTAAATCTAGTTGAAGGATAATTTCTCAATCAGTACCTAAATCAGAACTCTTGCCTCTATAAGCAAGATGGAACAAGTCTGGGATAATATGAATACTTTATTCATCAAAAGTCTTTTCATATAGTAGTTCATTCATATTGTGAAGGAGAAGTGTTAAGGTTCAAGTAATAATTTGCTGCCAAAACCAATAGAATCAGATAAAAATACATTCACTTGCTCAAGTCTATAAATACAATCTTCACCTGATCTCTCAGAGTTAACATTTCCAGCAATAAAAATCCCCTTGGTTTTCTGCTTCTACTCTTACTCTGAACTGTCTCCTTACTGGCAGGACTGAGCAGCCTTGTTGTATTCACCTCATAACTCAAATAAGTAGATCCTTTCAGTACTCTCTGAAGTAGATGGACTTCCAACCAATCTCTCCTAACATATCTAAAAGCATACAGTGGTAGTAGACTGAGACTTACACTCAGGAATCAGTGGAGCCTAACTAACTAGGTATCTCATTCTGAAGTACTTGTTCAAAATTTGTCAGATAAATTGAGACTGAAAGAGCACTCGGTTCTTAACATGGTATGTAAGCAATGTTAGGTTAGCTCAGCTGAAGAAAAAAACAAGCCACCTCATTAATTTGAAATTAAGATTAAATGAAATTAAAATATCCCTATTTTATCTCACTGTATAGACTGTGTAAGATCCTTAAAAACTGTTGCCCTGTGTAACTGAGCAAAAGAGGACATATGTGCACATCCAATGTGCACATCCAATGTGCATGCACAAGTGCAGCAAGAGCTGCAGAGCACAACACATTTTAACTGACATTATACTCTTTGGAAATCAGAAACAATCAGAAACAGGCTTGTATAAAACCATCTTACCTCTTCAACCAAGTTTAGCTAGAAAACACTACTGTTACACCACAGAATCATCTGTTATATTTTTAGCTTTTAACACAGTATCTTTATCTTTACTTACCAGAATGTTTCTGCAAACCTGGTAAGTTCTGCAGAACTTCAAATGCCTGCCTGTACAAACTCTTCCTCAAGTATTTATGCACTATTGCACATAACAGATTATGTCGATTGAGGATGTCCATTTTATTACAGGGCCACAACGGTGCATCTGTGATCCACTCTGACTCTGTGGCAAACAACAGTTCAGTGTTACATCTAGGAAATGGAGCTTCTGTACGTTGAAACTTTGGGCCATTAAAATTTACTGTAAAGTGTACCATGACATAAGCTTCAGAATTGGACAGAAAGTGCAGCTCAACTAACAAATAATTCATTCCTTATAACCAATACTCCTTAGGCTGATTCTCTGAACCTTTATATTGTAAATCACCCCTTTTGTGAAATATAACTGCAGTAAAATAGACTATCAATGGCATATATAGATATGCATCTATGTATAGCTATATAACTGAACAGCAAATTTACATCCTCAATATCACTTTACAGCATACATTCTGTTCTTTATACTTCTGAATTTCTTCTCTTTTCAGCAGAATTCCAAAAACCCGTATCTAATATTTGCAGAAATATGGTACTGTTTTAAAGCAATTATATTAAATGTGGATACTGTGAAGGGCAAAGGAACACTGCATTGACCCAAGCCAGAAATGTGACACTGAATGTCCCCTGGTTCAAAGGAAAATGACAAGGGATAGCGTCATTTTCCAAGCTGCACTCCTCCCTCATTATGGCAGACTTTCGAGTAGAATGGTGTTGACAGCAGAATACTGTGAAAAAATTCTGAAAAATGAGGCATTGATTGTTGTATTTCTTATACATATCAAGAGGAATACTAACCAGTAAGATGGATCACATTTTCTTTGCTGCCCCAGTATTATTAATGGTATTTGGTAATACAGATCAGCTTGTAACTTTTATCTGAAATTTGTCATAGAAGTGAATTGCTCAAATTTAAGTCAAAATTAAGGTAATTAGTAATGCAGTAATGTAATTAGTAATTAGTAATGCAAGATAGGCTTACCTCTCAATACCCTTGTTGCTCCATCCAAATTTCCAGAATGAAGAAAGATTTCTGCAGCTTTATTAACAATCTGACATCTGGATGCTGACTTCCCTGCACCTACAAGTCCTTTCAAGAGTGTAAAATCTATCTGTAGCTCATGCAGTTTATCCAAAACCTTCCTTCCCTAGTGTAAGAGGGAAAAGGGAAAGAGGAAGGGTCAGAGAAAGCAACAATATCAGTGAACACAGTGTGTATTTATATAAAATAGAACAGATTTAGTTTAGTGACACAGATTCATAGGCATCGATGCAGTTATCCAAACTGAATCAGGGGTGAAGTATAGTAAAATGTCTAATGAAGAGTTTAGGTTTTTTTTTACTATGTAGGCAAAAAAACTCTATCAGCCTACTGTCAAAGTGCTCCCAATACACTATTACCTATAACATTGTTTCTATTTTATAATGTTCAATTTAGTATTTTTAATATACTTTGTAATTAATTTGTATTTACTTATTTTATTAATATTTTTGTGATTCCATTCAGCACTACACAATCTACAAAATTCTAAAAGATTATACAGAGAGTTTTCATTTTGCAACAGATATATAATTCTTAAACTGAAGTAATTACTCCAGCATAAGTCAAAGAAAACAGTGATGATTGTATGCAGCAGGACAATAAACTGGAAGAAGTTGAGCCTATCTGGCCAACACTGTAACAACCAACAATTCCATCAGATTCCAGACTGATATTTAGACTGGTTTTCTACAGAAACTTCGTATCGAAAACTTTTTGGCTGTCCCTTGCAATCAAAAATGGAAGAAAAGTAGCAGTCTCAAAGATAATTAAACTCTAAATCTAGAAGAGAGGATGATCGAGTCAAGGTGAGATATCAAAATCATGTCCCCCAGCAAGGCAGGGCCAGGCAGAATTCAGTATTTGTCCCACCTGGCTGCACCTTGCTAGTCAAGCAACAAAGACAAAACTTCAAACCAGATGTGTTTCAGCTCTTGCTTGCTTGGGTGCATTCAATGACAAAGTGGCTTATTAAAAACTGTGGTTGTGTGTAAGCATGCATTGTGGTGGTGGAACAAGGCCCATGGAGGCAGAAGGAAAGAGAGGTTTAGGAGAACAGAGAAGTTGAAAGAAAGTCATTTATTAAGAAGCTCATTTTTTAACAAAATGCTTTATGCATATTTACAGATACACTGTGGACTGGTATGTGCTCAGAATTGGACACTTTTGAAGGCCGACAGGCATCTGCAATCTTTTATTTCAGCAAAACCCATAAAATACGCTAACATTAACTGCACTTAACATTTAAGCTGTAAAGAACCCATTCAACTGTAGATTTATGTGGCTTAAGGGGAAAATTACAAACCAGAAAAACTCAGGTGAAACTTGAAATCTAAGTGCAAACCAGAAATGAAATACAAAATTAAGGAGGATCTCCATCTATTCCACCCTTCTGGCAAAAGAAGGGCCCACTAGGTAGTAGTCTTTATAGGAAGATGAAAAGTATGCAGCTGTGAGTAGAAAGATGATCCTTAAAGGAAGGGCACTCAATTAAAATGCAGTTGTGGAATGAGATCCTTAATTGGATCCTAGAACCTCTGTGACCAGTTCTCTGAAATATTAAAAAGCTGAGTGAAAAATAAACCACAGCAATGCCTTTCAAGAAAAGGATGAAACAGCTGCCAAAGGAGCACCGATGTTACAGAATTCTCTGCAAGTAAATATCCAGAAAGCAGTCTAGTGTTGCTTGAAGAGCTGTCTCCATGCAAGACATACTCATGTTGCATGTTTTTTTGAAGTACATCTGTTTTATGAACTTTTCTTACCTCTTACAAACAATATTCTCTTCAGGATGAAGAAGCATACTTATTTTACCCTCAAGAGCCACCAAAGCTCTGCAATAAAGGAGTTTGATGTTCTTCAAGGAAAAATTATATGAAAAGCACATTTCAAGTTTCAGGTAGTCAGACATACTCATAAAACAGCACAGGGCATGTCCTAAAGCCAAAACTGATTTGGGCAGAGCAGGAAGAGCAAATCCATTACTACCTTATTTTCAGGACTACCTTCTGGGCAAAAAAGACATGGTATCAAGCAGATACCACAGGATTAGGGATTTATCTGATACATGTAACGGGGTGAAACTGGTAGAGAGAGGTAAGAATGACAGCTTCCTGAAGCAGAGATAGATTTGGGATCTGCCAGTTCTGATAAAAATAATTCAGAGCAGAACCTCATCTACACTCTGATATGGTCAACACAGGTTGTCTACAAAGCTGTTTGAGGATCTTGGTCAATAATCCCTTGAGAAGCAGGTTTGATACTAACACACTCTCAAAGAAACAAAGATATTTTTCTCTAGATATGAAAGAAATCATAGCATTGTAAGAAGCATCTACTTTTAGTAGCTCATGTTGTCCAAGAATAACACTACATATGCTTTTCACACCTTGCACCTCTGAAATTAGGACATGAAGATGAATCTGCTTGAAATACCAGGTGTTGTGCAATCCAAGATCAGGCTCTCCCTTAAGATGGATCTGGAAAACAGCTAAAATGTGTGAAGGCACAAACATTGTATTCTGAAGAAGACAGCCAAAACCCAAGCCAAACTAAACCCTTCAGTGGGCATGTGAGCACTACCACTCCTCAACGCCAAGAATTTAGATTCTCTCTTCTGTGGTCAGAAGTATCTTAACTGTTCTAACTGCAAAGTTCTGTGGAATAAAAATGCCTGAAAAGTTCTAGTGCAGTATTGCTCAAGTGCTAGTGGAAAGACCCTTTCTCCTTCCCTTTACTCTACAGCAGTACCACACTGTGCTGCAGCTTGAGAGGGACCTGCTGAAGGTCACTGCCATTCAACTCAAGAAGCTGATGCTACAAAACTAATGAATCATGAGAACAGGTATCCTGCCTCTAGACTGATGCCTTAAGATCAGACTAAGCACCTCTATCAAATATCTCCTGGGACTTGGCTTGACCCTAGAAACAGACTGAACAGTACACAGGATTTTTACATAACAGAATTCCTGAAGGTCATCCCCTAGAGACAATCATACAAAAGACAACTTAAGTCCTCAAAGTGAACCAGAAAGTGTTCCGTGATGGTAATTTGCAAAAAAAGGCAAACCAAAACCTCAAGAGACAAAAGAGAGTATTTGCTTCTGTTCATAAAAGTGCATGCTCGAAATCATCTTGAATGGGATGAGGAACATCCACATACACCATAATTATTAGCAGAAAGGATCAGGCCCAAGTTCAGAATGTGATCACTGACCAAAATACACTCTAAAATCACTAGGCGTTTATATTACTTTGTATGCTATCACTTTTTATATTGCTTTCTATAAGAAATCTGGTTTGGTATGCATTGGTTCCTTCCAGGATATAAAAGACAAATTTAACACTGAAATGGATCTTCCTGCTGTGAAATTATGACTAATACTGCGTGAGGCCTAAGTAAAACATCCAGTCAAAAATGTAGTCTCTTAGCCCTGGCCCTGTGTAATATTTGACAGCAAAAGTATGATTGTAAAGGTATTTCTTTGTGATGCCTGAGTTTTGCAAGATTCACAGAACTTAGATTCAATGGAATAAGAGCATTTCCAGCAGCGTTCTGGGGAACAGGCAGTTCACCAAGTGCAGCCTTGCTACGCTGCTTTTCTGTCTTTCTGGTCTTACTCCATTTGAGTTCAGATGCAAAAGCACCAGCGCAGCAAACTGCCCAAACTTCTCTAAATATCACTTGAGTTGGGAGGTCTCAGAATGCAGCAAGATTGCCAGTAGGTGTGAGTAAGTGATGTTTCTGCAAAACAATCCCATCAGCACCTCACCCCAGAATCTCAGGAAGACCTGTCTCTTAGTTCAGATTCAACCTCAGCTCAGAAAAATCACAAGATGAACATGAGCAATCAGTTTCAAGGTTGCAAGACCAAGTTATGATGGGCTCCACAGAAGACTACTGCTCAGAAAAGCACAATAAAATGCTTTGGTCCAGCTGGACAGTTAGGAAGTACTAAGATGGCAGAGAGGCAGGTAGCACACCAGTCATTCCATTAGAGAAACAGTTTAATATCCAGAAGAGAAATTACTAATACTTTTTTTCTTCCAGTCAGGTTCCTGTAGCTCTGCATACCTTTATCCACTGCAGTACTTTGTGATACGAATACATTACACTTATCCCAGTCCTTCCAATGAAAAGTCTGTCTGCTTTATTATGGTGTGAATTTTTCACTACTGGAAAGAAAAAGAAAAAGGCTTTTAAGTTTGTTTTTTTTTTATTTTACATGTAAATGCAGATTTAAAGAAATTACACATTTCAAAAACACAGTAATTGTGAAAATACTAAATACATTTTCTAAAATATTTGCCATTGAAAGTAGCAACTTCTTAAGTCTTAACACCAGAAGTAGGGTAAATAACTGTAGTTTATTCAGACAATATTTCATAGCAGTCTAAGTCATCCATAAAATGCTTGGCCATGTAATGGCATAATTTAGTAACACCATTATTTGTAAAATAAGAATTACATGCTCTGGCACCAAAAAGAAATTTTGGTAATTGCAGAACTGAGTAATTACAATCTCTTTGGAAGCACTGTGAGACTTTCAGAGCAGTGCTCTCAAAGCAGGGTAAGAGCACAACAATCCATTCAGCTGTGGGAAGAAAATATTTTTATTTTGGAACTGTGCAAAAATTAAGTAAAATACTTTAAAATATAGTGTTTGCTTTATATTGGTCTCATATTTGTGATTCCTCTTTTTGTGTATGGTTTATAGTCAATTTAATATATTGGTGTAATAGCACATATATACAATATATAAATAAATAAACTGTGGGTGACTGCTCAAAAAATTTTTACTAGTGGAGGTGCCTATCAGCTGGGAGACCACCGCTCCAGGGAAGACAGACTAGGTTCCAAGCTCTGACAACATCTCCTCCCGGTGTCACAACTGGAAGCTCTAACAGCTTTTTTATAATATAAAAGTCTGCAGTCAGAAAGGATATGTCACATATCTGGAATAAATATGCATTATGTTTTAGTAGATAACACAGGTTGAAAAATATCTAAGTAATCCTTTATAAAATGATTTAATATCCCACTGATACTTCACCAAGCCTCGGTAATCTGCAAACTTATTAGGGAGAATGATACAGATATGCAAATGAAAGGGCATAGGAAAGAAAGAGGCAAGAAAACCTGCCAGAACTATTAAAACATTAGGTTCTGGAGCACCACCAGGCCTTGCAGAAACCATTGGTTCTTTAGAGGAAAAAATAATTCTAAAAATCCAACTTACTTAAAAAAAAGGTACATATTATATATATGATATAACCTGTTCAAAGTATTTTAAAATACACAACTATTTACATATACGTATTTACAGCACTAAAGCTTATTTATGCTATTAACAGTGTGACACTTCACATGACAATACTTAAATACATTTGCCATTGTCCTGAGCATAGGTCATTTTTAGTGAAAGATCATGAATTCTGGGTTCTCTTTTTTATTTCACAAAAGTCTACTGTTCCTCCTTCAGAATCTTCCTTGACTTTAAGTGTAAGCAACTGTGCATTTTACAACTACAGGAAAAGAACTTTTACTGAACATTACAGTTGATTGTATTTGCACTCCAAAAAATTCAGAATATTGTAACACAAAATTAACTAACAATTAGAAAATGATATTTATTTTTTATCTCTTTTAAAAACTCCACAAAGAACACTTCTTGCATCTCAATTTTACCTGTATCAGCAAAATCACAAAAAGGAACTCCTGGTCTGTCTGTTTCAGAATCTTTGGCTAGAATTTCAGCAATAGATACAAACAATTTCTGAAGATCATCAAAATGTTCGCATCCAGTTCTTGCATTAAGATACAAAGCTCCTAGCTTGGTCCAGTCCCTTTTTTCCTTGCAATGCTGTAAAGAAGGCAAAGGATAAATATAGGCAAACTTGCTTCCAGACAACCAAACAGAAAATATACTGAAATTTGAGATATGTACTTGTGATAGACTTAAAGGAGAAAAAAAAATGGAAATTAAATGCTACTGCCAAGAGCCTTCATGTTCATATGGCAGTTACGTGTTGGCAAACTTGCATGGACTGCTAATTACTTCTATCCCTCAAGAAATTAAATTCCTTTTTTTTATGTCATCACCCCAATCGAGAAATCTCAGAACTTATTAATCCTATTTAGGAATTGTCATTTATTAGGGTTTTTTTTTCCATGATGCATGCTGAATTTATGGTTATCTTCTATATGAATTAGTCTTTTGCTTGCCAGATCACTTGATGACTTTGGTGTTAAAGGAGTAAAAAAATCAGTAGTGCTTTTTCCCTTTTTATAGTTCAATCTCTGAATCTGCACAGGACGTGTGATAATATGTAAACTATATAATATTTATGCATAATGAGTAATCTTGAATATGAAAGACACAAATGTCCAAATAAAGAATGTTTTACAATATTTTCCTATTCTTTAAAATACTGCTTAATGTTGTCAATTGCAGCTTTTGCAATTGTGTGTTTTTATATTAGATATGAATTCTATCTGCTAAATAATGTATTAAATAAATTTTTGGTGAGGAATGATGTACCACTACCAATCACAAGCACAACAAATGTAAAGCAGAGGAAATAACTGGTTAAAGTTACAAAATCTTTGAATTTATGCAAAACTACAAGTATGTAAATTAAAATACTGACATTACAGAAAGGCCAAAGACAGTTTTCTCCTGCATTTAAGCCTTACCAAACATGTTTTTGCATAAAAGTATTTTATCAAAAGCTCATACTTAATAATAAAGCTCACTAATTAAAAAGTATCTAGAAATTGCTATTTCATGCAGGTTTAAAAGAAATCATGAAGAATGCACATACTGTACCTGAATTTCAGCCACAGCCAAGTTGAAGTCAAAAATCCATGTCTTTTCAAAATATCTTTCCTCAAATCTTCCATATGAAAAAAAATGAATACTTAAATTTTAACACATCCTACTGAACTAGCAGAAGGTGAACAACCAATTATCACATATGAACATTAAACTGATGTGATTTTTGATGCTATTTGCATCGTATTTGCTATTCACATTACTCAAACTGCACACTGAAAACACTAATTTAAAATCTTGCCAAGGGAAGTTAGCGCATGTATTAAATAATTGAGCAGAGATATTTTCACAGATGCTGTGTATTTGGTTTCCACTAAGAATCAAAGGTATATTTATGAATCACAAATTTAGTTTCTCAACGTGTGTGTGTGTGTGTGTGTGTGTGTGTGTGTATGATACAGGTGATACAAAAATGAAAAAGGATCACAATCTTGTTCAAGAGATGGGGAAGTATCAGCAGTTTTTGAACAGATTTGACATTCTGCCCAGCATATCCCAGCAGTACTCAAAAAATGACCCACTCCTCCCTAGCAGTACTGGCACAAACGTTTATGTAGTCACACTGTAAAGGAAACTAGAAAACTACTTCAGATTATAACTAATCCTAGAAGGGCTGTTTATTGCAGAAGTACTGTTTGCTTATGTGGGCCTAAGTGATATATTAAACCATGATGTTTCTAATTTGGCTAGCTATAAAAACTTCTGTCAAAGTTGGCAGTAGATTGTACAATGTACAGATGATTGATATGGAAAAAAATAGTAATTGTGGTTAGAATCTAAGTTTTAATTTAACAATGTTTGATCTTTGAAACATGGTAGATTGACAGAACTTTGAAATAAAATTGGGCATGATATGATAGTATTTTCATCCAACACATCTTTTAAATATTCCACATAAATATGTAAAAATAGATGCTGAAGAAGGAACTAGGCATCTATAGTTAGAAAATAGCTCCTTAAGGACATACCTGGATTTTATGTTCAAAACAGTAGTCATTTCCCAACTGGAAACTTGCAATTGCTGAAGTAACTTAATAATGTAGTCAAAGTGTTCCAACTCAAGGAACATACCAGCACCAATGAGCTGCAATATCAAAGGTACGAAAAGTGAGCACACAAAAAGTTGTGATGACTCAACACATCTTCAGAGGAAAGTGGCAAACAACACATCACAGTGAGTATCAGTCAAAAATGAAGGAATAAATGAAAACAGATACAACAAATTCAGATTTTAGTATTATTATTTACATAATATCAGTATTATTATTAAATAACTTTAGTATCATTATTTAGTATTATTTAAAACTTTTAGTATTATTTCAGTACTGTTTTTAAATTGATATGTTAGAGTTTTAAAACAGGCAATGTTTTTCAGGAATTCCAAGAAGCAGCAGTAGTACAAAAATGAAACATACCTTACAGAAGGTATTGATTAATGTAGGCACAGCATTTCTTATATTCAAAGAAGCCACATGCTCAAAAACTTTCAGAAGAACATCTACAGCTGGCTAATATAGACAAAAAAACCACAATCAGTTTTGCAACTCAGTTCAATTAGAAAGGTAAGAGATTTTATAGCAGGGTATTCCAAATTAATCCCCTCACACAAGATTTGCATACCAGAGTGAAAACAAGCCTAGTACTATAAATGGCATAGTATTCAAAAAACTAAAACTATGAAACTAAGATTTAAAAAATAGTATAAAGTCACCTACCAGTATCTTGATTTGTACAATTACATTCAATATTTGGAATACTTCCTGCAACAAACAGTTGTTGAGCAACGAAACAAGAAGATCATTCAGCACTTCAGAAGCAAAATCCATACCAGGAGTAACTTCTTTGTAATACTGCACAAATATTTGAACTGAAAAAGCAATTAAACTGAGTATCACTTTGGGGTTAAATGATGATACCTATTTAAACAAGTTATTTCCTTATATTTTAGACAAAATGTAACAACACTTAATTGTCCAAAATATTATGGGATAGGGATATGGAGAAATATGGATGAAAGGATCCAGTCTGAATACAGTGTTAACCTTACCAGAACCAGACTGACTGTTCTGAAACATATTGTATCATTGAGCTGAGCACTGTAAGCCCTGTAGGTTCCCAGAAAGTTTAGTTGATTTGGTGCAGCATAAGAAGAATGCACAAACCCAGGTTAGATTTGGTACATGCATCAAGGTATTAAGGCCTTTCCAGACAGGAAGCTCTAGGAAGGACTGTGTTAACAGTGGATAGTCTCACAACTTGTTCCAGTGCCACCCTTCCTTGATAAACTGGCCATGTACTGTGGCCTGCTGGTATCCAGCGTTACCCACATTAAAACTCACATGTTCAGCACGGGAACACTGCAGCATACGGTGCAACTGAATTCCCCGTTCTCATTCTGTCACACTCTAAGAAGCTTTCAAAAACTTAAAGACTGCTCAGGACCAGTATAAAAGGAATCACTGTCCAGATGATTAAGAATTTAAAAACAAAACAAAAAGCCCTTTCTGACTGAACTCAAAAGGTCAGATGGATCTGAATGCAGTCCCTGAAGTGTGTTAATCATAATCGTTTGCATATACAGTGTAAGGACTAAACTGAAGGTGTTGAGAGTGGGTGCAGTAGCAACACATAATTTCAAGAGCTTCCATTCTCAAGTTTCTGGGTTCTTGACGTTTGGCCAGGGTGCTGAAAAGCACCTTAATAAAATTTGGGTTCTGTCAAACCTCCTTCCTGCCCTATTTACATATTTCTACTCCCAAGTCTAGTTACAGTCAGGTTAAGTTCATTTTATGTGGAAGTACGATTTCTAAGAACCTCCTGAGGCAAGTGTGAATCTAAATTTCTAGCCTCATTGGGAAACTGAACCAAGAAAACCCAGGGATTGAATGTATTCCTTCATTTGAAGCAGAACTTTTTATTCACTGTTGAAGTGGCAACCATTTCTCTCTTGACAGCCTGTTTAATTTGCTTTAAATAAGCTAAGTAACAAAGATTCATCAACAGCAACTACTATACCATACCTGCACGTCTTAGGAGGCCTGATTCTTTGATACTAATGTATGTCCTAAGAATTGCCATGCAAATCTGTAAAAAAAGAAAAAAATTGCAGTAAAATGTAACTTCTGTTTATGCCAAACAATAAAACTACTCACAAACATGAGTTCTATTACATAATGAGCTTTACACTGCTTCCATGTAAGCCATACATACCGATAAATTATATAAGAAGGTAATGGGGTCCGTAGGCAAAGGCTCTGTCAAAAGGCTAGCAAATCAAACAGAAAAATAATGCAGACAAAATGTTTGGGAAAGAGGCTGCTAGGACCACAAATGTTTACATGTGTGTGTGTATACTCACAGCACACAAACAAAAACAAACAAATAAGACAATTTGAAAATGTAGTTACTTCAGAATTAGTATAAATGTGGCAGACTGTAAACATAGGAAGGGAAGCAAAAATGTGAAAGTGAAACGTGGGAAGCAAAAATTACATGAATGTACCAACTAAGAAGGAAAAAAATCATCCAGGAATGAAGCTGGTAACACCTATTGTCACAAAGAATAATTTAAAAGGATACAGAACAAAAAATTCAGAACTAACTTGACTTAAAGAGCCATTTCACCACAGACTGAATTGACTAAAAAAAAAAAGAAATCCACACCTACATATTTTAATGCTATTTAGTATTGGAATATTCTTGTCTTAACATCTTAAGCTTTCAGCTTTGTGATACACATTTTGCTCCATCTCTCCAGATGACGAAATAAAGACTACCGATATTATATCTTAGAATTGCAAGTTAGAGAAAGCCCTCACCCCCTTTCAGAAATTCTCTGTCCCTTCTGGAAATTTACAGTCTTTCTGCACAACAATGTAAATTGGTCATATGCAGTAAGATTTTCTGACACAGTTAAACATCAAAAGACAGAAAATGCCCTAAAATAGTAGCCATGGTATTAAAGAACTGAATCAGGTTTATTTTCACATGCAACTTCAAAATGACACAGGATTCACTCATGAAGTTTGTTATACAGGAAATGAATTATTATCAAAGCAGAAGATACTGGTTTATGGTCAAGACATCTTTCTTATTTTAAAACCATTAACCTGTTTAGATCATCAAGCCAAAGAATACAAAAATTGTACATCTAAGTATAAATAAAGCTTATTGTTTTTATTTGGAAGTAGTATCTCAAAAAATCTCATGAAAAAATGTTGAGCTATACTCTAAGATATGCCTTTCAAAGAATCATGTCAAATTTTGGATTATATACGTGAAGTACTTCAGAACAGGTTAACTCACTTAATCCAAATCTATACTCCCAGGAGGCTGAGGGCATTTCCAGAATAAACTTTAGCACATGCTTACAGTATGGAAATTAGTTTGCTTTCTTTTGGAATCCGTGTTTCTCCTTCTTTGGCCTGACTCCCAAAAAAAGCCAAGATTGCATCTGGGGTTTTGACTGTTCCAAGTATTAGTGAAATCGCTTGGACAACCATTTGTAGTATTATTAAATCATGGGATATGCTGTATGACATTAATAAAAGAAACTAAATGTGTTATTCATTTACACCTTCTAGAAAGCTGCAGTTGATTTAGTTGTTCCAACTTTGAAAGGTGTAACTGCACCCACAGACTATGTAAAAATGTGAGAATCTTCAAATTTTGAGTTAGCCATAACAGATTTTGAATGAAGGTACATGACAGAGATTATTCCTATTTTCAAAGGGCAGTATCAATCACAGTATTCTAACATCTATCAGTTGATTCCATGACTCATTTTATATGACAATTTAATAAAAAAACATAATAAAGGCCTCTGGATCTTATACAACCAGCCAACACTCCACTGAAAACATGGTCCTACTACAATAACACAGAGGTGCTTATTCAGAAGAACAAGCACCAGGAATTCACTAAATACTTCAGCATCTTCCAGTCAGTGTCCACTCTATTGCTTAATAAGGGAGAAACTCCCATACTGCAGCCTTTATCTCAGGGAGATCAAAACCAGGATCCTTCTTACAGGAAGTTTCTGTACACCATGGAAGCTTTGAGATGCACAATCCCTATTCAATGTGGCTGAAACTGACCAAAAGGTTCAAAGGTCATTTAGTGATGTCAGAGACAGTAATAAAAAGACAGTGTAGAATCTCATTTCTTTAGAAAGCCACATTAAAAAAACAAACCCAAAATCCACCATGACAGAAGCATACATCCAAGGCCTTGAAGTTGTAAGACAACACTAATGAAGGCAGAAATCCTCCTGTTTTATATCCTTTTTGTTTCTAGTTAAGAAGTTCATAGGATCAAGGAAAAGGAGAGTAAAAACTCACAGAAAGTAAAAATTTATTTAATGGATAGGAGTAAAAAAACATTAATGAATAAGGTTCACAAAGCTAAAATAAAATCACAAAGAGAAATACAGCTTGCATAACAACATGTTTTGAAACCACTTATTTAACCATAAAATGATTGCCTGTTCTACACTCTGAAGTGTCATTTGAGCAAAACAGTTCACTGTAATTAGCTGTCACTTTCCCTGAGGACCACTGAGACAAGTCCAGTGTCACCTCCTTTACCCTCTTCTCCATCACATACTGTTAATGCATGCAATGCATATTGTTAATGTCCACCCTCCCTTTAAATACTTTGGCAAGTATTTGAAACAGTCTTTTGCTCACTTTACCTAGTACAAAACAGATTTCACTGTTTGAAAACAAAAGGCATCTTTTAAAAAAACTCCAAAAAAACTGGTAACTGGTACAACTTGCTGAGCTCAAGTGTATGCTGATTTTCAGAACATATGATGTTTTTATGAATTCAAGCACTACTGTGTTGTGTAATCAACTACAACTTAAAGTGTTAAATACTAGGAAGTTATGCCTTAAAACATCAACCAGTTACTTAATGATAAAGAAAAAATATCATTATGGGGAAAGGTATCTCTCTTCAAAAACTCTGGTAACTATTATCACTGAGAACATAGCTCTAAGCAAGTGGACTATCAGTCTGCATAACAGCTCTCCTGAAGAGATTTATTCCTCCTGTATAAGATTAGATGCCTTTATCACTTCTTTACCTGTTTTTAATTTATGTACTTTGGTGCCACCATGAGGTGCTTGACCTATTATAATTTTTAAATGGACAGGTCTAAAAACATAAATACATACAAAAACAAAACTGAGGTATACTTTCAGACTATGAAGAAAATTTGGCTAGGTTTTGTGGGTAGATCAGTTAAAGTGTGCTGGAGTGCTGCACCACAAGTAAAATCAAGTGGAATGGATTTTTAATAGTTTTAGGCAAATAATTCTTTAATGCGCCTAATATAATGAAGCACTACAAACCACAATAATTCAGATAAACTAGCTCAAAATTACAAATATTCACTACAGACTGCTAAAGATCCATCACACTTGAGAAGAAAGGAAAAATGTTCCATATGAAACTATTCTCAAATTATCTTAGTATTTTTAAGATGTCGTATAAATTTTCAAAGGGGTTAGAAAGCATTAACAAAAATATAAAGCAGCTTTTTTATATATATATAAAGGAAAAGAGAAAACATTAAGAAAAATAAAACCAAATTACACTGATGGATTTTTAAAATTATGATGCAATATATTTAAGGTATCAGGAAGATGGACAAGTTCCTTTAGATGTTAACTTTTTTTAGCAATTATGTCTAACAGATTAACTGCAAGTTATTTTTTACATTTTGATTCTGCATTTTTTTTGCTTACTGACATAAATGATAAAATCGCACTCATACCAGTAAGATGGTAGGTAAGAAATAAATCTTGTAAGACCTGATGCGGGCAAGTTTAGGCATTTGTTATTGGTTACTTGCCTTGATGCTTTTGTTTGTTTCCAGTTAACTTACAAAACTTTCATACAGCTGATTTCAAAATCTTGTTACATGTCAGTGCAATTAGCCTGCCTTGCACAGTTCTTGGAAGCATTAAACTCATTATGACTCTGTTAAATGGTTTGAAAACATATTTACTTTGCCGATCATTGGAAAATCATTCTTGCTTGCAAATACTATGAGAATTGTTGCTCCATTTAAGGAGATTAAGGAATCTTAGAACAAACATGCCCATTGTTGCACAAAACATGCAGAAGGTAATATACCACAGATGTCTTTTGGTTTTAACAATACATATAAAGTCTTTGCAAAGGTTTGGTTAAAGTCTCTGATGTTCAGGGTAGAAATGTCTCAGAATCTGCCCACTCTGCTACTCTGTATTTGTACAGCCTAATTGTTGATGTGTGTTCTCTTAAAGCATCTACCAGTTCAAAATCACACAATATTTAAAAAAAACTTTGGAAGACTTTGAGAGAAAGAATTTCTGAACAATTTTTTCATCCATCAATCTCTGATTATTCACTTCCCATATATAAATGAACAAAGGAGATGATGATTTGGTTTTAGAAAGTTCACACTTACAATCCTTTCCTTACTTCAATAAATCAATTTACCTTTTCATCCCCTTGAACTGGAACATGAGAGAACCAACACTTTGTTCTTTCACAGCCACGTGAAGTCATGAAATAGTATCTGCAGTATTTACGGGGCAAGTTAAGTGCATCAAGGATCTGCTGGACTGAATGAGAAGCCTGGAATAAAATAAAATTACAACAAGCAGAAAAAGCCAAATAATATTTCTTGAAAGTAAACATGGTCTTTGCTTTTTTAGAATTTCAAAATATCTACAAACCATAAACAAAAGTGATCTATAGTTAAGCCTCTGAAACAACCCTCATCTCTATACTGTACTTGAAGCATTTCAAAGGACACAAAGACCAATCCCTTCTCATGTCACATTAGTGTTTAAAACAACAAAAGCCTGTCTTGAAGACCACAAACAGGGATAATGCAATAACTGCTAAATGAGATGGACAATGAGTAGAGAGGAGGGAGAAAGGCAGAAAGTTCCTGCACGGCTCTGAGTAACGACCTGAGAACTCTGGGGTATCAGTTTCCTTGACCCTTTATCAGTGCCCAGAATCACGAATAAAGCAGGTTGTCCTAAACATGTGAAACTTTGTCTGTTTTTTAGTTCTACAAATACCAACAAACAAAAAACATGATTTGATTTCACTTAGGCTGAAAACAGAAATCAAGAAAACTTCACTGTGAATAGTCCCTTCATCGTTGATTTTGTTCTCAAAAATTATACTTAGTGATAGCATCTTTAAAGATGTAGAAACACAAACGTACAGATTCACAGTTTCTAACTCGATACATAGGGAACTTTTGGACTATCTATAATGAATTTTGTGCCAAATGATCAGAAATCGAAGATTCAACAACTCACAACTGCACTTTTCTCCATCTTCCATGGCTCAAAAGCTCCACAATCCTTCAATGGCAGTAAAGTACTTCTTCCTGAAGATTTGTAACCTAAAAATTGGGATGAGGGTAGCAAATCACATAATGAAAACGAGTCATACTGAAACCACCCTCATTTATCTTATTTTCCTTTATATTTATAGTTCCTTCAAGTCACAGCAATGATTAATGAAAATTTGATTAACGCAGTCTAAAGCCAGTGATTTAAATTACAGTTTTCTTAATTATCCTAAAAGTGAGACCTTACACAAACTTCAAGAGTAAGCACATTTAAATTAAAATCTTCACTACTTTATCCAAGGTTCCTGCTCTAACTTACAGAGATAAGAAAAGGAATAAAAATATCTGTAAGTTTTAATTACAAAAACTATTCACTTTATCAGTAATCTCTGCATTCCAACATCACTAGCCCTAAATTTAAGCTATTTTCTCAGAACTGACAGAAAACCTTTTATACTCTTATGTTTTAAGCAGTGCAAGTAGCAAGTTTAAGCCCAGTGTTACTGGTGTCTTAACCATGAAACTTGGTTTTAGAACTTCATTACTGAATGACAGTTTTATTTCTTGGAAAAATGAATAATGATAACTAAAGATAAAAGTTCAAATTTTCAACTCTGTATCTAAAGACAAATGAGAGCTTTTGAATGAAAGCATTCTAGGATTCCCATCTGGCCCCTTCAAAGAACTGAGTGTTCACAAGACAGGGTGCTTAGCCCTTTCTGGCAAACTATAGTTACTAAAGAGCATCCAATAATGAATGTTCTACTGGAGACTGGCACTAGGTACATGGTTCTTAATCTCCATGTCTTCCTAGCAGACAGGACTACCACAGGATAGGAAGGAAGAGCATAATGTACAACAGTGAGTATTTAATATTATGTATTGTCATATTGCAAAAGCTTGTGAAGTGATAGTGGACCACTCAAATTCAGGATTGGATGCATTTAGTGACAAGAAAAAGACTGAGAAAACAGCCAACTGCTAGCTACAGAAAAATGCCACTGGGAATTTGATCTTTCCTCCAGATTCTTGCCATCCCAAAGCATAGAGTTTCTGACCAGGTCCTTTCAAGAGTTTGTACTCTCCCTTGTTGACTGTAGGTCAGACTTGTAGGGAAGCAGGCACTAAAGTGAAACAGCCAATCCTGCCTGCACAGCTCTGGGAATAAAAGCTGTTTTGCCCTGTGCTAACACAGAAACCCTTGCTTTGGCAACTTTCAAATGACTTTAAGAAGAAAGACTTAAAAGTACTCTTCAGAAGTCTATGTATATGCTTTGAAGGCCAAAGACATGAACAGTTTCAAACAATTGGAGTCTGAAGACATATTCAAAATTGCTTTTTGCAGCATGTTTTTCTTGCACTACCTGCAAATATTGTTTTATGATTTTAAAAATTTTCTACAAGCTCACACTGACAGTGTGAAATCCATATTTATAAATGTCCATATTAATCAATAATTCTAAAAACATTGATTTCCAAAGCACCTGTTGCAAAGAAACAGCACAGTATCTATCCACAAGTAATCAATCCCTGTTTTCCCTATCTTGTATGCCAAATAAACCATGCATTTATGCAAGGCTAATGTCAGATTTGTTATGTGCAAATATACTGCAGCTCCATTGTGATTTCTCTGGTAGCACAGACACCGTAGAGGTATCTGTCCCACGTGTGAAGTATACTGGGTCAACATGAAGTGCTGCTTATTAAACCTATATAATTATTTGATGCAGTCAAAACCATTTGAACTGACATAAACATAAAGTTCCGACCTTCGGCAAGGTGGGCTAACCATTCTGGCAAGTTTTATTAAGAACCATCAACCAACCAAATCTGCAGGCACATTCTCTGACCACAAATAAAGGAAAACATTTCCTTTATTTACTTGCTAATAACATGTTTCCAACACAGTATGTCAGACTACTAAGAATGCAGGCACTGCTGTACCATTAAAGCATCTGAGAGGCATAAATATCAGATAGAATTATTTCTATTTGACCCTACTGAATAGAATTCTGGTAAAACCACAACCCCAAACCTCTCACTAACCTACCAGATGAGAGCTTGCAGTTTTGTTTTCAGATATGCAAAGTAAAATTCCAGGCAATATCTTCAGGCACTGAAGATAGTTCTTAAGATTTCATAGGCAAATAAAGCACCAAAGAAACCCAAACAAGCAAACAAACACAAAAAAAACAACCCAAAAAATTCCGAAGGGTTCACCAACACAGCATACAATACCATTTGCCCATGATTTCATCTCTGAAGCTTCACTGAAGAGATTTGCTTTTTGGTCATTCAATGGCAATTCTGATAGCAATTCACTGTTCACTTTGCATTTACAGTCACTGTTGAGTATTAAAATACAAAAACTTGTTAAAATTAGTTTCTTTAACCCAATTAAAGAGGGGTTTCTTTCATGTACTGCATACCTAAAAAGAGGAATTAAGTGTATAAAAGATGAGAATTTCTTCAACACTTTACACAACACTTCAAAACTTGCCATAAATTTAAATAGCCAGCAGTCCAAACAATTTCACTTTCATTACTGTCATTTGCCTGGTCCAATGTGATTATGATTTTAGCTGAGATTACTCTGCCCTAACACATAACCATATGAAATTCAGTAAGTAGAAAAATCACCTGTGAACCACTTCTTCCCTCCCACCCCCATGCCGACAAGAAGACTGAGATGATTTCTGTCACCTCTGAAGAAGCATCTACTTTATGTTAGTCTATTATATACTATCTGCCAAAGGAGTAAACCTCAAGGCTTTTCAAATTACATCTGAAGAGTCAACTGTTTTCTTTCCTAAAAACTGACTACTGGACAGAAGATTTAGGAGATTTCAAAGGGATCTCCAATTAAAGACTGTTCTGCTTTTATTTCCAAATATATATATTCCAGAAAATTAAACTACTAAAATATGGTGCTTTCAAAAATAAGCTAAAAATATTGCTAGCAAAACACTTGGTAATCTCTTTGGTATTTGTAAACAAAGCCACAGGAAAAACATGATCCCCTTTCATGAGATCTTGGTCCCCTTCCCCCTTTCAGTTAAGAATCCTGGTTCAGTACAAAGGACATTTTAACTTGCTTGCTCCTCTACAGACAGAAGCAGAGTTGCTACCTCCTATAAGGGATTCAAGATATTGAATACTTCTCATAGCCAGGATAATTCAAATAGTTCCTAAACTTCAGGATGTTTCAATACAATTTGAAATAAAAATCCTACACTAGAGAGGAAAAAATTCCATCTAACAAACCCAAATTTTTCAAGATCAGTCTTTATTTTCATCACTGCATTTGGGTTGGTTTCCAGAGGGAACAAAAGATCTGCAATTTTAGTTACTCAGAAATGTCAAATTACCACATAAAATCTTCTTATGCTTTCTCATGATGCCAGCCTCAGTTCTGACACAACAGGCTTTTCAAAACAGTTTTCCTTCAATTTCTTTAATCTAGACATGAAACTACACACAATTTTGCCAGGATCTGTAAACTACACAGTTCTACTAGCATTTTTTTTTTAATAACAGCATCACTAGAAGTGGAGTTTGCTAAATAAGAACAGCAACTTTGTTTTCTTCCAGACAAAACTTTGTAATGGCAACATTTTTCAGTAAAACTAGAGAAAATAGTTCAACTCCAAATGAAGGCCTCTTCTCTAACTACAGAGTACTGCATTGCACAAACATATTTTATTCAGTACAATCTACTTATTCAATAATATAAAGAATTATTTATGCTACTAAGGCAAACTTAAATGGGTATTTTATAGCAGAAGGAGGAGCTTGGAGCTCTCTAGTGGATTCACAAAAAGATGCAGTATTCTCTACTAACAGAATTCTGGCACACTGAAGTCTGTCACAGAAATATGAGCAGTATTGGAAAAAAAGCAGTACTCTCTACTATGCCAGTTAAGGTTTTTTGGTTATTTTGAGATTACTGCATCCTAGTTCCAGCCAGGACAGGGTTAATTTTTGAAGTAGCTAATTGGTGATTACTGCTCCTAAACCATAACATTCTGAAATATGTTTTCTCTTCTAATTACTTAAGAGTTACACCTTAACTGTACCTTTCCTACAAAAACTAATTCTCTGTCATTTCTGGACTGCTGATGAATGAAAATTTCTCAGTTTGACACTAATTCAGGCTTGGACAACCACCCACCATATGAAGTTCATCAAGGGAAAGTGACAGATTCCACACCTGGGATTGGGCAACCCTGGAAGTACAGACAGACTGGGAAATGAAAGGTTGGAGAGCAGCACTGTGGAAAGGGACCTGGGGTTCCTGCTTGATGTCAAGTTGAACATGAGTCAGCAGTGCCCTGGCAGCCACGAGGGACAAGCATCTCCTGGGGGCATCAGGCACAGCATTGCCAGCTGGCCAAAGGACAGGACTGTCCCACTCTGCTCTGCACTGACCTGGCCTCACCTTGAATATTTTGTGCAGTTTTGGGTGCCACAACGTAAGAAAGGCATTAAACTATTAGAGAGTGTCCAGAGGAGGGAAATTAAAATGGTGAAGGGCCTTGAGGGGAAGCCTGGTGAGGAGTGCCTGAGGTCACTTGGTCTGTTCAGTCTGGAGATGAGACTGAGGGGAGACCTCACTGCAGTATGAAACTTCCTTGTGAGGGGAAGAGGAGGGGCAGGCACTGATTTCTTTCTGGTGACAGGACCGGAGGGAATGGCCTGAAGATGTCAAGGGAGGCTTACATTGAGTATTAGAAAAAGGTTCTTCACCCAGAGGGTGGTCAGGCACTGGAACAGGCTCTCCAGGGAAGGGGTCACAGTACCAAGCCTCACAGAGCTCAAGAAGCATTTGGACAGTGCTCTCAGGCACATGGTGCTACTCTTGGGAATAGCGCTGTGGAGGGCCAGGAGTAGGACTTGATCCTTATGGATCCCTTCCAACTCAGCTTACTCAGCGATTCTGTAAATCAGACTAAGAAATTATGTGTACAATAAACACTGCAAACACAGCTTGAAGCTAGAAGAACAGTAAAGTATGTCCTTAACTGCATGTGACATGTTTTTAAGCACCTTTTTCTACTGCTTCACAAATATTTGCCAGCCTGAATTTGAATGAGATCTTTCAATTCTTTCATAAGTAGAAAAGAAAAATGAAAGCTTCATGATTTATTTATTACAATCTTTTGGTTTTGTTAAGTTCTGGTAAGTGCTGTTGTGGTAAGAAATGCATCTTATGCTACACTCACATTGAATTGCAAAAGTGAGACACTCTTATGAAGTTAATATATCTTGCCACCAGTCAAAAGACAAAATAAGCCCTATTGTCCTGTCAGGCTATGACTATACTTGTTCAGTACTTTGTAGAGTGAAATCATATTATTTCACATATTTATGTTCTTCATCACATAGTTACAGTAACATGGAAAATTGAATACTGGTGGTGTTCAGGTAACAACATTATGTTTTATTTATATAGTGACTGGGGAACACCACAGGTTACATGAAGGACACACTATACGTACCTTTTTTCACCTTCACTCTTGTTTTCATCTTCAGCATCAGGTGCTCCATCTGCAAGCTTGAACTGTAATGATATTTAGAAATTATTTTCAGGTACAGCAAAACACTACTAAGCCTGTTATGCTTTACTTTACGGACTTAAAACTGTTAGTGATCATTGCAAGGTGTGATGAAACAGTCTTAACTGTAGAAACTAATTCAGTGTGCAGGATTACTCTTACAACATCTTTTTTAATGGACATACTGCCTTTATACCCTGTGTTCTTTAAAACAGTGATTTTTAATTGGAAAAAAGGTCATGTGACTGTCCTCACTTCTCTTTGCTCCCATAATAATCTCAGCAATTTTTAGGCCCACTGCCTAATTTTAACTGTGCCTGACAGATGTGTGGAATACCACAAAAGTAATTCCATCAAGTTTACTGAAATTTAAAACTGCACTGAGGAGGAATTTAGGCCTTTTGCTCAGCTCTACACAATCGTGAACAGTTAAAAAATCCCCAATGATATGGAGAAAAAAGACAGCACAAAACATATTTGGAGGTGAGAATCTGAAAAGACTAATACAGAATGAAGTCACAGAATCCTGGCTTTGTTTCATCCATTATTTATGAAGTAGCTTAGGACTTCATATTCCATCACAAATTTATTATAGCCAAAGAATTAGAGATGCATATCCTTGCAGTAGATTTCCAAACTTTATTTTACCACTTCCTGAATACTTGTAGCATTTTCTCCATGGTTACTTTTTGCCCTTCTCACAGGATTATTAACTGGAAAAACCATCATAAAAGCAAAATCTGAAAAATCTCCCCGAACGCTAGAGTACCTGCAGTAATTCCCCCAGCAGGAGTGCACTGCTGCTCTCTATTCACGTACAGAACAGGTTTAGGTAGGGCTTAGTATGCATTTTGTGGTTTTGAGTTTGGGTTGGGTGAGATTATTTGTAAATATTTTCTGCTGTCCAACACAGCACAGAAAAGCAAACACTAGGATACTGATTTTATAAAGCCACAAGGCTATGAAACAACCCAGCTGGGACTGACCTGGTAATATTGCAACAAGTACTCCACCTTCACCAAACCTTACAATTTGACAGACCCTTTTTATCTCTCCAAAAGATCAGGAAATAAAATGGCACTGTTAACTCTGTGAATCGCATGTGCAGCCCCAATTTAATTTGCTGAAGGAAATGTTTCTCTTCTTTTAAACAATTTTGAAAGGGAAACTGATTCTCTGCTGTTTGATTAACTTCTCAATTACTTAGCAATTTTTAACCATGTGAATTTTACAGTTTAACTTATCCAGTTAAAACCATTAGCCACTCCTGAAGTAGTGGAAAACAGTAAATGCTATCAGCAACTATGTATGAGTGGCAGAGAGATATAAATTCCAATTCATTACCAAAAAAGCAAACAGTATAAAACTTCAGCAAATCTTAAAAGACTTAGACTTACTATCTAGAGGAGGGAAGACAGAAAAAGATCAGATAAAGTCAGTGAGCATGAAAATCACTCCCTCTGAACAGCTAGAAATCTGTATTTTAAAAGCCCTTTTTGCCTAACTAATGAAGACCAGAATGATTCTTCTTCGGTACATGATGGCTGTGCAGCTCCCCAGCTTTCCAACACTGCCCCATCCTTCTGATACTGAGAGGCATTTAACAGCAGCATTTAAAATTAGGTATGTTATGTAAAAAGGTCATAGATTACCTTTATAGTCATACTATAAGCAGTACTCATAGGTGACTGGAACAGTAATTTTCATACCATTGGGAATACAGCATTACTGCAACAACTGATATAACAATATCCTGTTTCACTTCAAATTTGAAGCTTAAATGTTGGTGACAATTAAAATAAAATCAAGTTCTGTTAAGCAAAGATTATATTGCCAATACACAGTAATCTAGGAAATGCTTACACTCTCTTTATTGTAGGAAATTTTAAATTTTGTTGATAAAACAGCATAAGTAACTAAAATTATCCAATTATGTGGATTGTAATTGCCCAAACCATTTAAGGAGAGAAAGCATAATTTCTCAGGACCTTTTCATCCATGTCCAAACTCGTCAAAAGTTCATCTAGTTTGCTCTGTTGCCTATCTTTAAGAAAGTCCTCAGTAACATCTCCTGAAGGACTGCTTCCTCTGGAAGAATTGTGGGTGTTCACATCTTCAGCTGAAAATGTACAAACACATTGCTTTATATGTTTCACATGCTACAAGACAACAAAGCTTTTATTTCCTAGATATTACAAAAGCTTAGAAGTAACGACATTGAAGCACTCCTAGGACTTCCTAAATGTGAAATTTATATGGAAAAATATTTCATGCTTAAGGCAGGAACCATTTCAAATAAATATTAGGCTGAATATGCAATTAAAATTCTATTCAAGCTGTACACTCTTTAATTGTCCCTGTAGAAAAGTGCAACAGGTTTACTTACAAGATATTGAATTCAGTATTTTAGAAATAAATTCAGTTAAACTTTTTTATTAAAACACAGCCAAAGATATGTGTGGTAATTTGCTAAGCAAAATGACTTACTGTTTGTTAGAAAAGGGTGTAAGCTAATCATACTGACATGATGCAACCCTTAACTAAATATAGAGACCTCTGAGAAACTCCAAATTCCTGTAACATAGTAAATTCAGTAAAAATTCAGTCAGGAAATTTCAGCATCTTTTGCAGATGCCACAGGAAATAAACAACACACCTGGCTGCAACTTTCTGAAACAGCTGTTAATATACAACAAAATAGTAATGCATAGAAAAGAAATTCACTACTGGATCACACAAATTACTTCCAACTGCAGTTGTCCAGACACAGGAAAAAAGAACCAGATTAGTATTAGAAAGGCTTTTCTCCTACAGTCACTGGTCTCTATGATCACCAAGTACAAGACACAAGTACAAGTATGTTGGCTGAAGACAACATACACAAGATTTCCACTTGAAAGGTGATTGATGTCATCCAGAATATTTTAACTGTGGCACCTTTTCCCCTTCTTAAATGATGTAGCCAATAAGGAAAGCAGCCATGACCTCACTAAATAATACAGGACACCAAAGCAGTAACATGTATTTCTAAATAAATACATAAAAAGTCAATAATTAGCAAAACCAGGCACCTTTCTTTTGTTCTGTGCAGGCCTTTTTTAAAAGCCATGTATGAAACGTAAGTTACTGCGTGCATATTCATCTAAGATTATGATGTGATCTTGCTTCTGAGATCTGGGAAGGACTTTAGGCACCACAAAAAGAACCAAAGACTTCCAGCATCAAACTTTGCTAGAACATGAAGTAAATCAACAAACAAAATGCATAAGTTACTGAATAGTACAAAACTTGTTGCCAGGTTTGGCTTCAAACACCTCAAGATTGCAGATTCCATGGCACAGGCCCCAATCTCTTTACAAGACCAGAGGCCTAACTGTGCACTTCCTCTTGACTCCTCCTCAGGGAACTTGTATCTACTTCTTGGTATCTGAGCTCTTAAAAGCTCATTACCTTTTATTTTGCCTTCTAATACCTGAAGCCTGAAATCTTCTCTTCCCCTAATAGTCTCCAGTCACTCCTTTCCAGGAGGCATTATCTGCTGAAATCACTCTTTCCACATGAACATAACACATAAATGTGGAAAACCAGCACAAGAGTTACTGTCACAGACACCTTTCAAGTCTGAAGCAAAATCAACATGTAAGGTCAGAATATCAGATTAAAAAGCTGACAAACAGATACCAGAAGGGAAACACTATGAACCTCCAAAACCAGTCTCAGTACTCTGTGTTCACCACTGTCAGTAACAGGCTTCTAGTCAAAGCCAAAATCCTGCTCCTCCAAGTAGAAACTTCTACACTAGGTATACATCACACAGTAGGTCTGGTATGCAAGCCATAGAAAACCAAACAAATCACATTCATGTGCTGCCTAGCTGGACTGTTCTGCTTTAAATAGGAAGAAAAACCCCACTAAATAAGAAGTAACCTTATTTCATTAAAAAAGGGCATCCTTAAAAACAGCACAGTGTCTCTGGAACCCACAAAAAACCCCAAAAGGACAACCTGGAAATAAACCTGATTACAAAATTTTGTGTGCTGATGAACACAACAGAACAACCACCTCTAACTCTGACCTAAATTCCAAAGCAGTATCACAGGACTCAGAATCTTACTATGATCTCAACAACTAACAGAACTCTTTGCCTAAAACTATCAGAAATATCAAAAAAACACAGAATCAAAACCAAACAAAAAACCCCCACTCCAACCCACCAGTACTACCAACAGACTACAGAGAAGTACATGTTCCCTGTATGACTCGGGCTTGTGTTGTTTTGAAAGTTATTGACTCAATATGCATTAGGAAACAAACTGGTGTTACAATAGAAAGATAATACAAAACCAGACAAGTTCCTCTTTTTTTATTTTTTTGTGGAAAGCAGAAAGCTTTGGTTTTGCCACAAAACATCTTTTAGGTCTCTTTCTTCTTTTGATTATATACCAAAACATTTCCAGATAGCCTTACCTTTTAACACCAAATTACAAGAATTTTCAGTATCACTTGACATTCCGGATTCTTGCATGCATCTGTTTTGAACAAAAAGTGTATTTAAGATTTCCATCTTGCACAAAAGCAAAAATAATCCATCAGTTACATAAAATCAAAAATTCTCAGTAATACTTTTAGCTGTAGACAGAATCCTTACATCCAACACACTATTTTAAGACTCTTTTTAACTTTCTCTTTTGGCTTTCTCATGTCCATCCCTTCAGGTATACACCTCAACATGGTAAGTAAAACCAAGACATTTCAAACCCAAAATTTTCAGTAAAAGCTCATTATCTCATTTAATCTTTGCCTAAAATACCAGGAAGGGAAATTTTCTCTGTATAGCAAAACAAGAAAATACTGTACTAATGAGCCAATTCATCAGTTTCTAAAAAATGTGATTTATAGTAATTTTATATTCAAGATCATTTGCATAAAAATGAATCTCAGAGAGAGTAACAAAAACAACTGCTCATAGGAAGATACTTCACCTACTCCAAAGATAAGCTGGGGAAAAAAAATTCTTAGAAAAGCTCAGGAGGGACAAATATGTATTTAAATCTTACATACAGAATATATAAAACATCATCACGATCATCACAGATTTTAGAAGCTTGTACCTGGTGAGTGACACCAAGAGTAATGACAGCAAGCTGTCTAGTCAAGGCAACAGAAAACGGCAAACAAAAGCATATGTGAAAAATTAGTTTTACTGCCCCATTCAGACTTCAGTCCAGAGTGTTTTCCTGATGCCTGGAAGTAACCAGCACTCTTCTTTATGTAAAATGTACGCACCAGAGAAATAAACTGTTGAAGTCCCAGTTGTATTTGGTAAAACTCAGCAAAATAAAACAAAACAAAAAAAATAGTATGGACTGGCCATGATCTGGTATTATCTGGTGATAACACCCAATAAAACAGTGGTAAGGTCTACTGTCTTATTTCAATATTCTCATATTCAGTTCATTAATATGTTCCTGACTGCTACCAACATGGTTAATCACCAGCTAATAATCTTTGCATCAAATTATGGAAGGTAAAAAGCAAAATAAGAAATTTTGCCTTTTTCTTTAGCAAATTAAGAGGAAATTCTAAGAAAGAAGAACCATGCATTTTTATTTTCCTTGGATAATGGCAAACAAATTCAACAGGTATCAGAAAGAAATTAATACTCCCTCTAATAAATATACTATGCTACAGCCTAGTTGCTTCTCAAGAAGTTGGACACTCCTACAGACTTCCCCTGTTCTCTAGAGGCTTGTTTTGGCAGAAATTTTATTCTATTAACATCTGAAAGTTTATTATCCTCATGTTCAAAAACGTGTTCAGCACCTCAAAGAAGATTCCCTTCCTGTTTTCCACATGGGTTTAATGAAAAGGAAATGATAAGGAGAGAAGTGAGTAAATAAAAAAAAAAGAATGCAGTTATAAGGTAGTACAATCCTGAAAATAATTGAATTGTGACTTAAAATACAGGTAACATAAAGCCACCTAGAAAGACTACACAAAGAAAATTAAAACGCCCATCCCAATAAAAAAACAAATCTTCAGAGGAAAATCTTGCATTATTTCTATCTAAACCTTGTTTTTGTAAAATGAAAAATTCAATCTTAAAACTTTTTCACTGAACACAAATATCAAAGCTTAAGAGAGAAGACAGACTAAACAGTACATGAGTTCATCCATTCCGTGAAGAACTATCTCATTTACAAAAGTTAGTTTCTACTTTGAATTTCTTTTTCTCCTCCTGTGACTTCTATTATCATCTCAAAACCCAGTAAAACATTAACACCTAATGATTTACACCAGGAATTTGCTGAATGAAGATGCAGGATCATAAACCTCTACAACACCTTAGCCCAATCATATATCTGAAAAATATTCACACCTGGGGATAGGAGAAAAAGAGGGAAGAAGAATGGCAGAATGGAATACTACTGTAGTGACAACCATCTCCTCTTAAAGATTCAAGAATATGCTACATCTGAAAACTAAAAACACTTCTAAGTATTATACCACTTTACAACTACAAAAATTGCCGTCAAAGGGATATCTGTTATCTTCAATCAGGTCAGATTAAGAATATTATTTTTAATTATCTTTCTATTTCCATATTTCACTTCATTTAAACAAGCCCTTTTTGTCTACAATTATCCTACAATTCAGAGTTTATCCCAGCTCTTATGAAGAACAAGTTATCTGCATTCAGAATACTGTCATAGTTCAATCAAACTTAAAACACACAAAATCAAAAAAAAGAAATAATTTCAACAGAAATTAGTAAAAGTCTCTAAAGAACTGATCACTAAAACCAAAGTATACGGATATGAGATAAAAAGTACTCAGGAATATTGGGATAAAAAAAGAATGATATGCATACCTAAAACTACTCTCTACTGAATATGTCTTTTCTGAGGTAACTGGAGACTCTGGCTTAATATACTCCTTTGTGTCTTTAATGCCGTTTGCAGAGGACTCTTTCACTGGACAATTTTCACAGGGTGCAGGTGCAAGCGCCTCTTCATTACTGATTCCAAAAAGGTCAGGGTCATCCTGAATCACATCAATGACAAGAACATCTTGGTTGTAAGCTTCAAGGATATCTGGTAAATTTTGATTTTTGTGTTGTGAAAAATTCCGTCTTGATTTTCTATCATCATTTATTTCTAATCCAACAAGGTGGTCGACTGCATTCCAAGAATGATCAGGAAAACTAGATTTCAGCACACATTCAGTACCATAGAGATCAGGTATAGATGGCTCTGGTTGTCCATCAAGAAGAGGATGTGAATATGCAGAAAAACTTTCAGAGAGCACGGACATCTCATCAGAGAGATTCACAGAGCCATTCTGCTGGAAGTCCTTACTGTCGATCTCATCTGCTTTTTTCTGTATGGAAGGTGGAGATGTAGCATCACTCACCACAGGAAGAGGACCCTGCTCAGATTTTACCAAGAAAGTCTCTTCACCTGTCTTCTGCCTTTCTGGACTAGTGCTCTCAAGAAGCTCTAGTGGACTACAAGTTTTGCTTTCAAATGAATGGACAGATTCCAGTTTCTTGGATTCGGGTTTCTTTCTGCATAAAGGAATTTTGAATTTTGTCAGGTTTCCAGAGGTTAATGGTTTACTTAGGTTTAAATCAGGTAATTTCTGGTTCACTAGTGATACTTTAGGGCTGAAGCTTATACTGTTTGTGTTACTTGTAGAAGTACTATTCCGGACTGCCCCAGACAGGTTTCTGTTTGTCACCTCTGCTTCATTTTTATCCTTTTGTTTTGTTGTATCATTCTGGACTGCCCCAGACAGATTTCTGTTTGTCACCTCTGCTTCATTTTTACCTTTTCGTTTTGTTGTGTCATTCTGAACTGTTACAGACAGGTTTCTATTTGTCACAACTTCTTCATCTTTATCTTGTTTTATTCTACCATTCTGGACTGTCACAGACAGGTTTCTATTTGTCACAACTCCTTCATCTTTATCTTGTTGTATTGTACCACTCTGGAGTGTCACAGTCAGGTTTCTATTTGTCACATTGCCTTCATTTTTATACTTTTGTTTTATTGTACTATTCTGGGCTGCAACAGACAGATTTCTATTTGTCACATTGCCTTCATTTTTATCCTTTTGTTTTATTGTACCATTCTGGACTGTCATAGACAGGCTTCTTTCTGTTACATCTCCTTCATCTTCATCTTTTTGTTTTGCTGTAAAATTCAAGGTTGCTTTAACTTCTTGCACATCATCATGGTTAAAAGCCACGGCACTTCTATCCGTATTAACTGGCGATTCCCCGTTCGCACTGTTCATTGTCAAAGTCTCATAAATATCCACAGAAGAGGATCCCGTTGTTTCAAATGAAGCCCGACAGTCAATATTTGGATCAATCTTTTTATGTGTAATTTCTTTTGTAATTTCTGCCAGTGATGTATGCAAATCCAGCTGTCTCACATTCCCAATCACTGTACCATCTCCTACAGCTTTAACACTGCTTTTATCAGAGGAATCCTCAAAAGCAACCTTTAAAAGTATTTTTTCTTCTGACCTGTGATTTTTAAGAAACCATTCAGAAGTCCTGGCACAAGATTCAACAGGCCAAACTTTTTTACCAGTCATGGGTATTGTTCTTTGACAGGTAAACTGCTGCAATTTCTTATTAACTTCGTTCAAATTTCCTCCTGCCTTGCTTTTGTGACAATCAGAAACATCATGGATCTGAGCTAACACTCTCAGGCTATCTGAAGCAGCTGCATAATCTGCCACACTGCTTGAATTTTCTCCTTTTACTATTGCAGAGAGCACAGATGTCTTCTTAAAGCCAGTTTCAAGTGCAAGTAATTTGCTACTGTTCTTTCTCCAGGCTGATACAGTTTGAAGTTCATGAGTATTTTTTTCTGTATCAAAATCTGATGTATGATCGCATGAAGCTGAGAGAGTATGATTTAGTCCTGAAACTGCAAAGGAGTTTGACATGGCAACTGCTGCTTCTGTTTGTAACTCACACTTCTTGCATTTACCAGCCATGTCTGCAGACTTCTCTGTGGTTTTCATCTTTTTTCTATGCTTTCTACCAATATTACAGTTTTTCTCCCTTAAACACTTACTGTTTTCACTCATGCAGCATGAAACACAACCTTCTTCATTTTCATTCTTTTCTTTATTAGATGATAAACTGCCTTTTATGAATGATCTCTCATTTTGCATTCTACTAGTGCTGCAAATTCTCTCATTCAGGTCTCCAGTACCATGGGCTACATGGAAGAATCCATTCAATTTGTAACTGTTGGTAGTTCCAACAGCTGAAGGCTTCACTAATGTATTGATATAACTACAGTCCTCTAATCTGACAAATGGATTCTTTTCGGTTGCACAGAGCAAGCCACTGCAATGGTGTAGGGCATTACTGCCATGTTCAGCATCACATTTTGCAGATGTACTCATCACCTTTTCAGCTGCAGTCCCACTTAAACTTTGCAAGTGCTTCATTTGACCAGATCTGTGTTGCCTTTTTCTACACTGCGCACCGGGCTCTTCTGTTACAGGATGGCACAGAAAGCTCTTGCTTTCAGTGTCACCTGAAGTAGAAACTGTGGAAGTTCCAGAATAGTGAGATTCTTTTTCCTTAGAATCTTCTGCCCTGTTTTGCTTTGGCTTTGTCTTAACCTTCTTCACAGCCTGTGAAGTACCAGAGTCTTGCTCAGTTGCTTTTAATTGTTCCTCTGCTGATTAAAAAAAACAAAGGAATGTCATTAAAGAAAACTCTTAAAGAAAAAGACGAGCCTATAAAGAGAACAAAAAACCCCAAACATTCAAGTCTGCTGAAGAACATGACACTGCATAAGGCTAAAATATTTATGGGAAGTTTTATGATTTTTTTTTTTTAATAAACACTATTGGGACACTTAAGAGTAGAAAAGGATGTATTGTCTACAGAAACAGATGCAAAGAGGAACAGAACCTTATGGTATCATAAGGACATTGGAAGTTGTGTATTTGTTGTATATTCCACATGGGTGGAAAACAAATCAGGGCAAATCTGGCAAGAAAATGAAGATGCTGCCTGCACATCCAGCCTTAAAATCTTTTGTTTACACAGCAGATTCTCTGTAGGATGAACACTTATTCGTAAGAATACCTTTCAGAAAAACAGTCCAACCAAATGCATCAGACTGACCAAGAAGATCCAGAAAAATTGAAGGACTTGCATTTTTAGAGACTACTACTTTTTATCTGAAAGCAAATACTGATAATGTAAAAAACCGTATATCTGAAAATTTAGGCATGAGAATGGACTCAAGAGCATACTAGGATAATGCTGGGGTTTTTTAGACCTTTGTTTTCAAGGTAAAACACAATGTTAATACTTCAATTTTTCAGAATATGGTTTTTACATAAAATACTAATAATCTGTAGTATTTGTAATTTGAATGTATCCACTTAAAAAGTAAGAAGAATGTTTTCAGACAATCATCCTGAAATAAAGACTTTTAAGACTCCTCTTTCAGAATTGTTCCAGTTTGACTCAACATTCTCCTAAAACATCAAAACACAATAATTTTGCTTCTATGTCTTTGGGGATTTTGCAGAAAACAGCAACTAAGAAGTTCTGAGAGCAAATCCCAGCATCCTACAAAGGCAGACACAGAAACAAGACAGCACCATATATAATCAAAAATAAACAGACAATAGACAGATGAATGAAGAACTGACTGTCTCTTATTCTGGCATTGCTGAAACTAGTGCCCCCTTTCTTGCTTGTGGCTGACCACCTCTGCAGAAATGAGGAATGCTTTTGAGGGAAACTCCAAGCACTTCCTACCAGAGGCTTGCCTGTTTCTGTCCATACCCCTCCCTCCCTCTCTTTACCCCCTCAACTGACTAACTGGTCTCCTCCCCCTGGTGTTAAATAGACTGCTTTTCTCCTTCAAAAAAAGCCTTTACTCTTTCTGACAATCTGTCTCCTTCTAAGACTGGTGGTACTCACAGTACAGGAAGCACACCCTATCTTTTCTCAAACTAAATCAGCAGCCAGTTTTTAAAGGGGTCTTACTGCAGGACCAATTTGGGAGCCCAAATTCTACACCTGTACATCTACACTGGAGCTCTACCAGTGCTTACCACTTTCCCCTGGGCTGTCTGGTCCTTTCTGATGGCTTGAGCTCTGCTGCTCTTCTTTCCTGCAACGCTTCTTTCTCCTGGTTGTTGGTTGTTCTCGTCCACTCAGATCCTGCAGCTTCTGTGACAGCAATGCATTTCTGTTCCTCATACTCAGAGCTCCTTTCCTGGACTCTGGACATGGTGTATGCTGTTCCAGCAAGGCAGAACTATTCCTCTCTCTGGGACCATGTACTTTTGGTTTCACCACTGATTTGCTTTCCTTGCCCAAGCATCTCCTTCCTTTTTCCTGTGTCCCTAGTGTTCTTGATCCAACTAATGGACACCCATTCAACTTCTCTGCTATATCAACCTCTTCCTGAGGTTTTGGTTCAGGCATGGCTTCCTGAGCGCCCAAATTCTTCCGAAAATCTGGGATCTGCATATTCTGTGATATTATGGAGTCAGTGCATTTCACTTCAGTACTCTGTGTGACCTTTTTGGATTGAAGACCTGGCTCTGGAAAACCATGTCTCTCTGTGCTCTCAATTTCCTCCTTTAAGGATGGGACTTGTAATTTTATTTCCACACAGGAATGTTTATGTTCTCTTCCTGAGCTCTTTGAACCCTTGTGGAAACCTGAGTAGCTCAGCTCTTCTGAGCAATGTTCATTCCTTTCAATCCCTGCTAGGAATTTATTCTGCAAAGCAGTCCCTGAGAAAAGTAACTGTTGGCTTTGACCTGTCCCTCTTAGAGTCTCTTGCCAGCACATTTCTGCAGCTGTGTCTGCTGCTTGCCAATCTTCACAATCAGCTGTGTCTGAAACTGAAGCTATACCCTTCTTTCTTCTAGACTTCCTGTGCTGGATTCCCTTGTTTTTTTTACCTGGGAATTTCTGTCTGTTTTCACCTTGCTCCTTCTGCACAGGCACAGGAAGAGCAAAACACTTAAAGGAAGGGGCAGAGAGCCTGGCACGTTGTGGAAGGGAAGGAAAGGGCTGCTCAGGCTTCCTCTTCGATGCCAGGCGAGGAATCTGCTTGACTAACAGCTTTTCCCCTGGCTCACACCCTGCCCCCGAAGAGCCGGGGCTGCTGACCTCCGAGTCAACCTGCTTCACTCCGCTGGCTGTCACCACTTTCCCTGACCTCAACTGCGGCATCTCGGTCCCAGAGCAGCAGAGCCCACAAAACCCACTGGCCAGCGCACCTTTCGCTGCAACCTCGCTAGCCCGGCACCGACGATGGGTGCAGGCCCGACCTAGAGCGGGGAACAATCCCTTCCAGGCTGCCGCCTCAGGGGACACCCGGGGGAGCCCAGACCGACAGAAAGGAAACCCAGGCCGCCCTGAGAAAAAACACGGCCACCGACAAAGCCCTACCTGACACCGACACCCTCACTCCCGCCCCCGCACACACACCCGGAGCAACCTGCACAGAGCAAGGCGGGGAAGGAAGTAGCCCCGCACCTCTCCAGACTCAAGAAGGCTGCTGCCTGCAGCCTCCCGCTCCACTTTCCCACCCTCTCTCTCTCTCTCCTTCACTCCCTGGCCTCGTCTACCGATCCGTCCCTCGACGCCTCGTCCAAAGCGCGGAGCCGCCGCCGCCGCGCCGGCGGGCAATAGTGGAGCGGCGGCGTGAGGGCGGCTCCGCAGCGCGGCGGGCGAGGCGGGGCCCGGCGGGAACACCGGCCCGGCGGGAACACCCGGCCGGCTGCGCTCGCCCGGTCGCTGCAGCGGTGCCGCCTGCGCGGTTAAACCCCAGCGCTGGGGGGGGCGAGCGCGCCTTCTCCGGGCGGCCCTGTTCCGGTGTTGGCAGCCCCCAGGCAGGCGGGCGTGTCTTGCTTTGCGGTGCGCAGCCGTCGTGCTGCCCCATGGTGCCCGAAGCGGCGTGCGGAGCTGCCGGGCCCGGCCACTAGCGCAGCCGCGGGCTCATGGGGTACTGGGCTTCTGCGTGGAACTGGCAGAACCTGTGAGCAAACGCCCAACTCGCCCCGAGCTCGGAGTCGCGTGGGCAAACGGCCAGGCTCGTCCATTTCGTCGGGTGTTCCATCCCCCTCAGATTTTACTCCTTCGAGCACAGCGCTTCAGAAGCCCGCCAACACTGAGAGGCCATGCGGTTGTTTCACAGAATCTCAGAGTGGGTCAGGTTGGAAGGGACCACAGTGGGGTCACCTGCTCCAACCTGCTCAAGCAGGGCCATTCCAGAGCACGTGGCACAGGATCGCCTCCAGGTGGTTCTTGAATATCTCCAGTGAGGGAGACTCCACAATTTCTCTGGGCAATCTGTTCCAGTGCATAGTCACCTGCACAGTAAAATTCTTCCTCCCATTCCAGCAGAATATGCATCCCCTTCTGGCTGTTCTCTTGCCCTGTTGCTGGGCACCACCAAGAAGAGTCTGGCTCCATTGTCACCCCCCCTTTAGATAGATACTGGCAGACATTGATGAGGTCCCCTCTCAGGCATCTCTTCTGGAGGCTGAACAGGCCCAGCTCCCTCGGCCTTTCCTTGTGAGAGAGATGCTCCCGTAATCATCTTTGTTACCCACACTGGACTTGCTCCAGGAGCTCCATGTCTCTCTTGTGCTGAGAAATACATCAACTTTGTATTTAAATAACACAGATTCTTAGGACTTGAGTTAGGGGGAGAAAATCACTCAAATAGATTATGTAGTCAGAAAACAATAGAAGTTGGTGTTTGGGCTTTGAATGGGGTGATAGTTTCAACACCAAAGCTTCAGGACCATCCACTGCGTGACAATGTGAACATGTAGAAGTTAGCTTTAAAAAAGCCTATGTTGTATAAAGACTGAATCTAAGTGGCAGGTGTTACAAAAATCCTGAATTATTAAACTTAATAAGATGGTACTCTAATGCCAATAATGCCGTCAGCAAAATTGCACATGGTTGGGAAATGACTGTGTCCTACATGCAGTCTCTTTGTGTTTGCCTCAGGTGGTCTCTGAGGGATGAAATACCTTGCTCAAATTCATTTCACCATGGCTTAGTGCTTTCTGGTGTTCACATTTTATGCATCCTAGTTTGAGATCCATGTAAAAGAAATAAGGCGCTTTATGTCACAACTTGCTAGAAGTGCAGTACTGTGAATGTAAAACAGTAGTTGGAAAGGTGTATTTTACTAATTGGCATTGGCTCACTATATGACTTCAGCCCACGTAACTCACTTTATCTCTATTTCTCCATCCAGAGGTAGAGATAATGCATTTCAGTTCAAATAAAGACAGAGAACGTTGGATTTTTGCTAAAATCACTCCACAGATGAAGAAAGAACAACAGGGAAGCTGGGAAACTGTTCACTTTCATTTGCTTATCATCTTTTTAGATTGCACATACATGCTTAAGTACAAAAAGTCAGCAAATGGCTAACTAAAGCTAATCAAAGCAGAAAATACAGATTTCTTAGGCAGCTTCTCCCGTGGCTCAGTATTGTCCTTCTGGTCTTTGGGACAGAAAGGACCCAAGAAAAGGGAGTTAACTGCACAATATTTGTCATTATCAGTGTTCTGCAAGGCTGGTATTACATAAAACATTCAGCTCTGGTGAAATTTAACCATTTACCCTTTCACTTCAAACCCTCTTCATTGTGTAACAGATTCTTTTAGGTTTTATAGCAAAATGAAGAAGATATGCTGAAAAGCAGTAGTAAGGGAAATCTGGAAAAATGACATGTGAATTATCTTACTGCTAACTCTAATTTTTAGAATTTTAGTATTTAGTCAGTTATTTGCAGTGATGAGAACTCTCCTCAGACCAGATTTTTTGTGAAATGAATAAAAATCTACTTGAAATGAATACTAATTAAAGGCATTCTTCATTAAAGTACTTTGAAAAAAGCACTTGAGCTTCAGAAATGACATTTTGAAGCAGCTGTGGATTATGTTAAAAAACAGATTGCATTCAGTTTACAATACTGCTAAAAAGAGGTAGTATAAACATTGTCTTGCAAAGTGGATCAATTTAACCATCTTTTAAAAATACTTGAAAGATAAGAGAATTTTAATATATAGGCATATTTAAAGAAATCCTGTGTCATGTGTTTATTAAAACTGTAGGTTATTAAAGTGGAAAAAAAACTTCTAAAAATCATATAAACAGCTTCAGGATGAAAAATTAGTTATTTTCACATTCCAACAACATTTGAATTAGTAATACTGTAAGGAAATGTTTAAACTTTATTTTCAAATTATATCTTGTTTAGAAAGAAAGATAAATGCTTGTTCTTCTTGAATTTTATAGTTATCTATTTCAATGCCATATCTAAATTTTAGAACTAATTCAACTTTTGCTGATCCATTTCTTTATTTCACTGATTTCTTGTTCATTCTAGACACTTCAAGACAGTAATAGAAAGATGAGGTACCAGGTGTCTGAAAGTAAAAAGGGAATTGTGGTGCCCAAAATATTTTTTCTCCCAGAATTACCAGTATACTTAGAGATGCCTGGCAATTTTCCAGTGGGAAAAAGGACCTTGTGTGACTACATTTATGTAAAGTCCATAAAATTTTTCCTTTTTCTTTTCTTTTTTTTTTTTTCCCTCAGAGGAGTGTGTGTACTTATCTTCCCAACAGTTGTAATTTACATGGCTACTTTGGAGAAATTGTGGCTGCAGATCTAACCATACATTTGAGCAATCTTCCAAAAGTTTTTGAGATTGAAATATATAAATACATACTACAGCTAAATAGGTGACCAAATCATATAAATTTTTTATTGAGCTGTATTTTAGACTTTGCTAATATACTCACCTAGCAACAGGAATTAAGCTGTCTTTTTTTCAGCTAGGGAACTGGAAAAAATTACTTTGAAAATGAACCTTTTTTTTTTAGTGAAGCAATATAAAAAATGTCCCCTTGGAACCCTTCTTTTTACACTGCTTGCATCTTTGTGCTTGGCTGAGGGATAGATTTGTTATCTCTAGCAAACCATGGTGAAAAGAGTTTGGCAGTGCTGTAATAACTGAGACTGAGCTCTGAAGAGTATGTCTAGTCTGTTACATTCTTAAAACACAGCAAATTAAGCCCTTAAGTGATAGAAATAAAAAGAAACAGAAGAGAGTTTCAGTCTGTCTGAAACTATGTCTAAGAAACTATGCTTTTATAACTCCAAGGATTTATTAACAGTTCTGAGCTATTGGTTTTGCAAAGTTAGAACCCAAGATATTAAATATTGATATGTCTTTAAACTAACTTCTTTATCCCCTGCTTTCTGTTCAAATGCATGGGTGCTTTGGAAATAGGTATATTGCTATCTTTTGAAGTAAGAAGTTGTTTTTTCCCTCAAGCCATTCATGTATATCCCTCCAAAATTGCTTTTGCTTTTCACTTCCAGGCTCTTGAGTCAAGAGCCACCTTTGACATGGCATCTAATGAGAATGCTACTAACTGCCCTCGTATTGGGCTTGAGGTACAATGTTCGTGGTCAGCTCATGTCCTTGGTAGCTCCCCTGTGTAGGTGTTCATACTGACAGCTGTTTCCTTGTCTGCCCTGACACTGTGAACTCTGTTACACAAGGACCAGTAGGGTGGTGAGAGGAAAGATACCTCAGTGAAAATACGTGATCTGTTTTGTGAAACTGCTGAGTGATTACACTGCGTGGCAGACTAGGTGAATCCAGTGAGTAGCTGGATACCTCAACCTTTATTTTCCTGTCTGTTTTTATTATAGAGCTGTACAGGGCAGATTAAAGTAAGTTGATTTTCCACCAGTTTAAAATGAGTCATTGGAGGAAAATGGACAGCTGCTGTATTTTGCAATGAACCAGCTGGCATTTCTTGGTAGATCCTCTGATTTCTAATTTACTACTGAATTGTGACAGCATGAAAATCAAAATTACTGATTGTATGGAATCAGTGTTTCCCTCTGCCAATTCTGTTTCTGTCAAAGGATAGTCATAGAAGGCATAAGGATCTCTCACACTGGGTTTTGCAATCATAGAAAGTAATCTGTATAATTTGCTTTTTTTTGTAATTATGCTGCTTGAAATTTATTCTGGAAGACTGACTTTCCAGATGATCACATCTGATCTGAACCTTACTGAAAGTGGCACTAATCGGTTTTAAGGTTCCACAAGGGAACTCCTGTGTAAAGTTTGTATTCTGTTTTACTCCCTTTCATTCATGTATCTTTAGAAGTTTAAGAATAAA